CTAATTTTGATAATCAAATAAATTATTTGCAATTTTTTGTATAAAATTCTCATATAAAATAATCTAAATTTAATTCCTTTTTAAATTTATTTTTTAAGAAAAGTAAAAATTATTTTGCAAAACACGAATTATCGATATATCCTCATTTTTTCTTTACTGTATAAAACTTTATGAGAAATAAATACTAAATGTAAGCTTACATTAGTATTATACATATAAATTGCATAATTTGAAGCACTTAATTATTGTACTGACCTTAGAATAATATTTTTAATAAAATTCGAAAGCTAGCAATTTAAGTATTAAACAAAAGTAGTAATAATAGGCTCAAGAGATTAAATCTAATGATATATTTAATACCAATATGAGTCAACACAAGGTATTAGTGTGTGATTAAATGATAATCGAAACTTTATTAAGTAATTGCGATATATGTTTCGACCATTGTTTCGGGTTCTCTTCAGTACACAAATTAATGATGCAAAAACAATTAATTATTAGAAAGATTGTATCATGATGACTGCGTGCAACTTTAACGGAAAGTTGTACATGAAATAAACAGACTTGCTATAGAATACAAATAAAGTATTTTATTATTTTGACAGAGTCATGTCTTAAGGTAACTTAAGTTATTTACATGTAATGTTGAATCGGAAAAACATGGGATTATCACTTACTCCGTTATTGAATTAAAATTTTACTATGTGAACAAAATTAGTTAAATATTAATTACTAGTTATTATTAAAGTTATTAAAAAAAATTATTAAGAAGTTAAAACTTACATAGCGAATATGAAAACGATGTTAACAGTTCAAACGCTCGATGGCTAATGAGACGTAAAAATAGATAAAACATTTGAAAAACAAAATACGTAATCGTAAATAAAAATCGACGATAATAAAATTAAAATTAAATTTTCATATATTAAGAAGCAGAAAGCACTACGTCTTTTTAAATAAAAAATTCGCATATAGCGGGTCAAGAGATAAAGTGTCATTTTGTAAATTTATGTCATGTTTTTGTTTCTTTATGTAAATTTCTGATAAGTCTTTTATTTAAAATTTTTGTTTTGTCAATATTTTAATGTCAATCAAAATCATGTCTTTATTCTATGTTCCATAATAACAGAAGATTGAAAATCTATAGTTTACTTTACATGCAATAATGCTTCGTTTTGGCGCTTATAAGTGAAAAAATGTTAAGGAGAGGCACAAAATTTTATTGAGATAATTTCATTATCGTGGATAAAATATGGATAGAGAAAAAAATTCAAAATATAGTTATTATTATTTTTATTTCACGTTTCTTAAATTAAAAATAACACATTGTAATAAATATAATGAAAATAACTTAACAATATTTGCTTCGATTATGTAATTATTAAAATTATGTTTAGAAAACTATAAAAATTTTCGATAAATATTTACTTCAGAGAAGACACCTCCGATGATCTTGATATATGTTAACAAAAACATCCTTTGAGTAATCCCCAAAAATTTTAGCCGTTGTTCATTGTTTATTAAAAAGTTATTAATAATAAAGTTTAATTTTATTTAATTAAAGTTATTTTTTAAGTCAAATTTTTATATCGATTTTTTACTTCAAATTTAATTTTATTTAATTTAAAGTTATTTTTTACTTCAAATAACGATAAAAAAAAAACATTTTTTAAATGTTTATTTAATGTTAATTAAACATTTATTTTACATCAATTATTCATTTGAAATGATGTTTGAAAGAAATATTTTTTAAACGTTTATTTAAAATGTCATGGCTTATTTCGAGCTATAATTAAATTAACTTTAAATTAGTATAATCAACAAACGTATTTATTTTTCATTACAGCTTTATATATCAAAGTAGCGCATTCCTTTGATTTAAGTCGAAATGCCGACAGCCTTCCTATTGGCTATTTCAATTGCCATTCGTGATCCAGTCCAATAAGCGCTCTTAGTATTATTGGTATAGAGTATGGTTAGTAAATAAAAAATGAAGGACCTTTGCGCTACTTTGATATAAAGTGCTTTAAAAATATCGGGGAAACTAGAAGCGTCATTAATTACTATTGATGCTCCTGATTGGCTATTGTAAAGCATTGCGACTGGCGACGTAGTGTTTGCAACTTATTGTATATCACGCTTTAGAAAGCGACGCTGTTCAACTGCACACCTAGAGGTTCTGTAATGTATACTATATATAGCACGATTATATGAACCAAATATCAATTTATCATCTCTAGTCTTGAAAAATAAATGATATACCCTAAGAAAAGCAGACGTTGCTATGTAGTTTACATGCACTTTGTCAGAGGGCAACAATGTGCGGCAGCATTTTGCGGTTAGGTTTTGGGCTGTCATGTTCTCTCTCAGGTTTCTTTCTGGTCAATATGATGTGATATTTCTTATTGATGTGATGTTAGTCAGCTTGTTAAGAGTATATTTCTTTCTAAAAATGTTTCTTTATCTCTAAAAATATTTTAATATATTTTAATTTGTATTTTTAGTTATATAACTCGCAACATTATGTATACACATAATAATGCTATATTTGTATATATGTGTATTTTAGTATTAAAATCAAGTAATTTTTGATAATTTTTTCTGTTATTTCAGCAATTTTGTGATTTTTCTCTACATTTTTACAAAATTTTCTATTTTTTCAGGAATTTCTCGGGAAATTTTACTACAAATTCTATAAAAATTTTTTTTTTCGACTTGGCAACCCTGATAATCACTTGACTCATTATCCAGCGTGTCCTCTGCAGAACGACCGTTACTCCGGATCTACAATAGAGTTCTAGCCTCAGCCGTAAGAAATGGACGAATCATAATCGATTGTTCTCTTTAAATTCGACTGTAATTGGTCAATTTCTTGCGGCTTAAAGTTTAAAACGTCCATTGTAGATCCGGCTACTGCTGACAAGGCACTATAATACGATAATGAGTATTCGCATCCGTCATTTTTTAGTCCCTTCCTCACTCTCTTGATCCCTTCTCCAATTCTTTGTTCTCTCTCCACTCCACCGCTGAACTGAGAAGATTGAAGAGAGAACAAAGAATGGGGAAAGGACTAAAAATGGCGGATGCGACTACCTATATCATAGTGCTCTACTGCTAGTACTACCACTACCACACACGTGTGCGATCACAGCTCCGTAGTCCGTGCCAGCTGTGTTGCTGTATACCGCCCTGCCTTCAAGACCCGGTCGCGAGTACGCTCTCGTGGTGATTTCGCACGAGAATTTTTTTTTCTGCGCCTGCATGACTTTTCATCGGTGGCACACGAGTATCACGCCGTTCCTCATCCGAAGAACAACGCGCGCACCACCACCGGCCGATCCAATCGTCAAGACAGCCTGTCGAGAGTATCGGGAAAAAGCAAGAGAGAGGAGTCGGGGAGAAAGCTGAACGGAGCAGTCGACCGCAGCAGCGATCCAAGATGCAGGAGTCGCAGTCGAAAAAGGGCAAGAAAGGTGAGCGGTCTAGATCCGTGCGACGATGAGCGCTATTTCGTCGTTGACTTGACACGTGTCGATTTAACATATGTACTTGCATGCCGCTGCTTCGATGTGGCAAATGTCGTCTGCTATACGACCTAACCTAAATCGCACACCCGCTCGTCAGATCGAGCGACGTTGTCGTCGTCCTCTCGGCGCCGCATATGGCGATTATGACACTCGATACGTTCAGTTGTATGTTAGCACCTACGCGAATGTCCTATGTTTTTCGCAGGAACCGTCATAACGAATCTGGCAGTAGTTCTATATCCGTCGTTCTAATAATGTCTGACGTTAGATAACATTATAGAATTATGCCATGTAGGAAGGTCAAAGAATAGTTGATTACATTTTTTGTAGCATTATTAGTTGTTTCAGTCAATTAAAAGTCTGTTTTCTGTGGCTGAACTAGTGTACACTTTTGGAATTTAAAGTGAGATAGAAATACGTTTGATATTTATTTAAGCGAGAAAGAGAGTTTTAAAACAGCAACAGACAACAGACCATAAGTATAGGGATGCATTTCGAATTACATACAAATCGCATGATGCATCATTTGTCCTTGTTGTTTATCAAAGAATAAAGAAAAATAAAATGATATCGCTTGCTTAATTTGGAATGCACCCTAGTAAAAGTGACACTGTTCAATACAGATAACAATTGGAACAAGAAACAATTGAAGAAGCCTGAATTGCATTGTGTCCATATTAATATCATGGTTCATGGAAAATAATTTTTAAGATTATTAAATATGATATTGTCAATATTGTTAATAATATTAAGTAGAGATATAAAATTTTAATTAAACGGTTTCATTATCATGAATAAAACAAGGTGAAGAGGGAGAAAAATCAAACTAATAATTATTTCACTTGTTTTCAATTATTATAGAAAAGCTGTGTTTTATTGCAATTATCTTAACCAATTGATTGTTTGTGCCCTGAAAGATTTTTAAATTCATTGTGTTGATAAGAGCATTTTGTATCATTAAGTGCATGCCAAATACTATTTGAAACTATATCAATAATTCATAGAGAGTTATTGTAATTATGCATTACATATATATATATATGCTTTGTAAATGTATTATAAGTTTAACTTTATAATATTCTTTTGATTATAAATGATATTTGCATCAATAGGTAGGAGAAAGCGTAATGACAGTGATGAAGAAATCGAACAAACATTGGCAGAGTTGGCACTGGAATATTCTGGAACAAAATCAGCAACAGATAACAAAGTTGAAACTAAAACAGAGCCATCAAATGAGCAAAAGCTTGACGATGAAGATAAAAAGAAAAAAGGAAAGAAGGATAAGAAGAAAGAAAAGGCTGAAAAAAATGATATCAAAGAGGAAACTACAGACAATAATATAGTAGAAGAAATATCGGAACTTAATAATACTGATATGGACACTGAAATTAGTACTGTAAAAACGGCAGCACAAAAGAAGAAAGAAAAAAAGGAGAGGGAGAAACAAAAAAAGTTAGCTCAGAAAAAAGCGGTAAGATAAAATATATATTATTGATTCTCTCTAAGTAAATACTTTTCTTTTATATATATAAGATCTTTTTAATTAAAAAATGAAGTAAATATTCTTACAAATAAGATCTATCACTTAATTTTTATTACAATAGGAAATTACTAAGGAAGGTAACAAGAAAGAAGATGATGAAACTGCAACTTCTGAAGAAAAGACAAATGATAAAGTTATTGCAGCAAAGAAACAAGATAGTGTAGAAGCTGATGGTGATGCAGAGCTTGAAGATGGTTCAAAGAAAAAAAAGAAGAAAGGTGGTAAAGAAGAAACTAAAGAGAAAGGTAATTTCAGTTACTAGTTATATTGCTTGAATAATTTTTCTTTTACACAATAGATTTTTATAATAGGTAAAGGGCCTGGAAAGAAAACTATTGCTGCCATGCAGGAGGCTTTAAAGAAAATGAAAGAGGAAGAAGAAAGATTGAAGCGAGAACAGGAAGAAAGATTACGACAAGAAGAATTACGAGAACAGGCCAGATTGGAACAGTTGCGTTTGGAACAAGAACGTAAAGAGAAGAAAAAGCTAAAAGAAAAACAACGAAAAGAGAGATTAAAGGCCGAAGGAAAATTTTTAACAACGAAACAAAAACAAGATAGAGCTAGAGCGCAAGCAATGATTGAAGCGTTTAAAGCTCAAGGTGTTGAATTGCCTGAAGTAGGAGAGAAAAAACCTAGACCAGGTATTATATGTACATATTTTTTACAGGATGTGTTTACAGAGAAATTTATTAAAGTTATATTAATTATTAAAATTATTTTAGGAACGCGAATTAG